ACACCTGTAATCCCCAACTACGTGAGGACTGAGCAGGAGGACCAGAAGTTCAAGTCCAGCCTGAGCAACTTACAGGAGACCCTGTCTAAAAATAAAAATATATAAAGGGTTGGGGATATAGGTCATTGGTGGGCACCCCTGGGCACTCTATTTTTACTGCTAAATAAATAAATAAATAAATGGGGACAAAAGACAAACCTATCATTATAAAAGCAGACTTCTCAGCAGAATCTCTAAAGCCCAGTGTTTGAATGATTTGTTTCAAGTACTGAAAGAGATTAAATGCCAACCTGGATTGCTAGACCTAGCAAAGTTCATGCTTCAGAATTGAAGGTGAATGAAGACCTTCCTTAAAAATCTAAAACTAGGGAAATTCATTACCACTAAATCAGCATTATTAGCAGATACTTAAAAGAATCCTACATCCAGAATAGTAGGAAGGATAAATACCATCATGAGAACATGGGAAAGAACAAATCTTATCTAGAATGGTAGATAAGCAAGTAAGAATTAGAGAAGTAGCAAACATTATTAATACAAAAAGCCATCAAACTTCCAAGATGAATAAGAGAGGAAAAAACCCAGAATATCCAAAGCTACCAGAAAATAAAATAACTAAATGACAGAAACAAGTATACGCTTTTCAACAATAACACTGAATCCAAATGGTCTTAATCTAATTAATCTACTTTTTAAAATATTTTAATTGTTGTTTTTAAAATATTTTTTAATTGTAGTTGGACACAATATATTTATTTTATTTATTTATTTTTATGTGGTGCTGAGGATGGAACCCATCCTCGCACGTGTTAGGTGAGCACTCTACTGCTGAACCACAATCCTCAGCCCCTGGTTTTTAATCTAATTAAAAAATACAGACTGGGGGATGGATTTTAAAACATGACCTAAGAATATGCTGCGTGCAAGAAACTCACCTCACCAGCAAACACATACACAGAGGTGAGAAGAGGGGAAAGTGGTATTCCAAGAAATGGAATCCAAAAGCAAAAAGGAGTACTATAATCATACTTGACACAACAGGCTTTAAACCAAAATCAGAAGAAACAAAAAACATCACAGCCATATTAATAAAGAAAGGAATTCATCAAGGAAATGTGACAATTATACCACTAAATGTTGGAGAACCCAATTTTATAAAACAAACACTACTGGACAAAAATCGAGAGGTAGACTCCATATAATAATAGTAGTTGACTCAAACACCCACTCTCACCAATAGATTGATCATCTAGACAAGAAAATAAACAAAGAGGTTTCACTTTTAAATTACACTACCTATCAAATGTACCTGACGTACATCTACAGAATATTCCACTCAATATTCCATTCTGTAGCTACAGAATGTACATTCTTTTCCTAATCATACAGAACTTCCTTTCCAAATAGGTCACATTTTAAAATATAAAACAAGTATTAACAAATTCAAATTTTTAAAAAATTTCCTGCATCTTGTCAGATCATTATGGAATGAAACTAAAAATGTTATTGCAAGAGAAACTACAGAACTAATGCAAATACTTGGATAATGATTACATACTTTTCAATGATCAGGGAGGGAATAATTGGAAAATTCAGGGGAAATCTTTTAAATTCCTGGGATTAATCAAAATGGAAACACAACATACCTGAATCCATAAAATAGCAAAAGCCGTACTTAAGGGAAGTTTATAGCTATGAATGCCTACATTAATAAAATATAGAAATCACAAATAAATAAACTAATGATGCATTTTAAGGCCTAAACTCAAAATCAGCAGAAGAAAAGAAAAACTAAAGATCAGGACAGAAATAAATGAAATAAAATATTTTAAAAATAATGCAAATAGAGGTTGGGGTTGTGGTTCAGTGGTAGAGCTCTTACCTTGATTGTGTGAAGCACTGGGTTCAATCCTCAGCACCACATAAAAATAAAAGATGTTGTGTCTGCCGAAAACTGAAAAATAAATATTAAAAAATTCTCTCTCTCTTTTCTCTCTCTCTCTCTCTTAAAAAAAAAACAAGCCAAAACTAAAACTAAACTTACCAAAGAAGAGAGAAAAACCTATATATAATAGGAGATGAAAAAGGGAACATTACAACATATACCATTGACATTCATAGAATCATTAGGAATTATTTTGAAAAATTATATAACAATAAAGTAGAAAATCTAGAGAAAATGGGCAAATTTCTGGACACATATAAACTATTAAAAGTGAACCAAGAGAATATAAAAGACTCAAATAAATGAGTACTGAACAATGAGGTCGAAGCAGTAGTGAAACATCTCAACAGTGTTATATTGTGCATATTCAAATGTATCTGCATATTGTGTATGAGTGTCTTAGCAAACTTTCAATGAGTGTCAGTATTGTGCATGATATTGACAAAGACATTTGGAAAATAAGCAAATTTTAAGGTGAGCAAGAGTGAGTTTTTATATCATTAGTCTCTGAAAGGAGCTCCAAGTAGATATATGCGATCTTTCTAGCCCATAATCCCCTATTTAAGCTTGTTCCACTTCCAATACCTAGAACATATCTTGAGAACTTGGGAATAAGCAACCATTTCTGATGTGAAGTTGTCCCTCTTTCTGGCCACAGGTGATTATTTTAATAGGAAATGGATCCATAGGCTTGGGTAGGCTCATTAGAATAACCTTTTACTTATTTATTTTTGACACATAGGTTATAAGTACATAGTGCAAACTTAAACTGAACAATCAAAGTTATGACTGTGATAATGTTTTTGGTTGGTACATTCTTAGAAGTAAATGAAGGAAGGCTTGTTCCAGTAGAATGAAGCAACATGAAAAGCAATGCAAAACCCAGAAAATTTATGATCCCATGAAAGACATACGTAGTCAACCCAATAGATTTTCCATAGTACATTTATGACATAGAAATATACTAATGTGTTCTCCCTTTGGGTATATATGAGATTGCCTTTTTTATTTAAAATAGTTTATATCCATCATTTACCTATGTTGGTAGTGGATGTCTAATTTTTATAATAAATGTTATTACATTAATATTAACTCACCTTTTTCTTCTGATTAACAGACAAGCAAAATATTAAAGTACTAATTCAATTTTTCACAACAGTGAAAAATTCTGAAGAGGACACATGTGCTTGTGTGAATGTAATTTCTTTTTTTAAGTTGTGATGGATAGAATGCCTTTATTTTATTTGTTTTATTTTTGTATGGTGCTGAGGATGGAACCCAGAGCCTCATGCATGCTAGCCAGGCAAGCACTCTGACATTAAGCTACAGCCCCAGCCTGAATGTAATTTCTGTTGTAGAAAATCTCATAAAAGAAATTCAGCTAGTGCCAGCACTGTGAGAGACATGGCATACGGATATAAAATGACACAATATCAAGTATAAAATTCTTTATTCTTTATTGCAATAATAAAATTACAGAAAAAGAATAGGCAAATAAATAAAGAAAAACCAGTCAGTTGGCATTAAGTAAGATCAATTGAAGAGCAAATTTTGACAAGAATTAGAATAGAACAAGACAGCAAAATAGTATATTTATATATGTGAAAAACAAGGTTCATAAATGATGAAATAGTGCATGAAATTCTATTTAATGAACATGCTGTCAAGTGGCCTGAGTTGAAGTAGACAAAGAATGCAGAGAGTTGACATGTGCAGATTACTAGAAGCTTCACAGATAGTGTTACAAAAAGACTATATTCAGGTGGATTTATAAATCAATTTTATTCAAGATACACAATGGAAATTATTTTAAGAAAATTATTTTGTTTAGCAAGGTCGATTACAGAAGTAAAAAATGTTAATTTTCAAAGCATTTAATGTGTGTGTGTGTGTGTGTGTGTGTGTGTGTGTGTGTTTTATACAATGCCTCAGAGGTGAAAGAGTTATTGTAGTCATGGGCAAACACAATGACTTTTCATTTACCTGTTTAATTGGTGCCTTTGGTGAAATTACCACATAGCCATCTGGGGAAAGAAAGTGTTTGGAAAAATGTACTTGATAAATATCCATATCAAAAGAGTAATTAACCCTCTTTGTGTTTTCATTTAAAAAATAGATATAATAGAGGAGAAAGGCATAACTTTAAAGGTATCAGAGTTAAAAGTTTGTAAACATTTCACCCATACAAAAATTAAGGGAAATAATAAGACATAAAAGGGAAATGATAAGAAAAAATAAAAAGAAATGCAAAAGAATAAGGCCCAGAAACAAAGAAGATTAAGTTTACGGAAAAATAATTCAATTATTATGTTCAGTTGATGTGAAATAATTGAATTTGGCCAGGGGAAAAAATCATCTCTAGCAACCTTATAACACTTTTATTATTATGCAGAAGTTGAAAGCCAGATTTCAATAATATAAAGAATGTTCATGCATTAGTCTTTTGTCTTCACTCTGGTTTTGACCAACCATTCAAAGAGATTTCAATCAATTATTAGCCAGGTCAATATTATGTAGGGCCAATGTTCATTTGGGACTCACCATATAAATCAAGCAGAAGCAGTTGACAACCTCCTGATAATGCTACAGATGGGAGCCAGTAGTCCTCCACTGGATACAAAAGACATAGTGGGAAGATTGTAATAATTAATGCTGTCGACTGGCCAACGTGATAGATAGATTCATGATAGATGGGTACATAGAGAGGGAGACACATCATATTCCTGTATAACAAACTCCATTACTGCATTACTCTGGAATTATCAGAATCTCAAAGCAAATGCATTTACCATATGCAAAAAAAAAAAGAATGTTCAAGTAATGAGTAAATAAAGCCAACTGAGTCACTTGTGAAATTATAAATTAAGTCTAATATTAAGTCCAATAATACTCAGTTATAACCATTCACATTTCTATAGAATTTAGCAATGTGCTCCAAAAATGTATGTATTTCATTTGCTTGTCTCTATTCTAAAAATATTGTAGTTTTTGTAAATTAGATTTTCTTAATAAACCCAATTTTTATATGGAACTGAAGGAAAGTAATTTCTTACAGGTACAAAATTGGAAATGTTGGATTCTACGGAACCAAAGGGCCTTGTCCCTTTCACTGAAGAATCTCTTAAACTTATAAAACAGCATATTGCTAAAAAACACAATGAGGAACATGAAGAAGATGATTTAAAGCCGGACTCTGCCTTGGAAGTTGGCAAAAAGCTTCCATTTATTTATGGAGAACTTTCTCGAGGAATGGTGTCAGAGCCCTTGGAAGATGTGGACTCATACTACTACGTGAAAAAAAATGTGAGAATTAATTGAAATTATTGTGATTAAATTTTTATTATTTTATTTCCAGACAAAGCAAAATATATAATTGAGATAGGACAAAAAAGAGAGAGTGAATGAAGAACAGAGAAAGAGATAATTTTATATTATATAGAACTACCTAAGATATTTTATTTGGGGAATGCAGAGATTTGAGATTTTATCAGAACCGCTATATATTGGTTGGTTAGTTTGTATTGTTTACTTCTTAATATATATATTCTGTGCCTTCATGGGAACAATTTGTTTTATGACAGCAAAGTTGATTAGCTATTTATGGTTATCAATTTTAAAATAACTGTGAGATATTTAGAATTAACACAGCTATTTAAAATGGCCAACTTGGTGAGCTTACTCAGGAGTCAGGAAAGTGAATCGAATCTGTGAGTTTTTTAATCACTTTTTCTCATTTATTCATTCATATTTTCATACCTGATCTCCAGAAAGACTTGTGGCACCTATTAATATATCCTAGAACAAGCACAAAATGCTAAACATGAAAATAACTGTGCTTAAAAAAGATAGATCTGTGTGGAATGATGAAGCTGAAAGTCCTCACTGAGGAAGTAAAATTTGAATTAAAGCTTGCAGAACACTTCTGATTTTAATAACACAAAAGGAGAGCCTTTTAGAAACAGGCAAGAGAAGAGATTGTTCTTGAATGTGGAAAAGAAAGCCTGATCATGTGACTGGGAGCATGGTTATGTTGCAAGTTGTGGGAAATAAGATGAGATCATGAAGATGTCAACAGGGATTTAATGTGGTAATCAAAGGACAGGTATGAATAAAGTGATTAAGTAAAGTCAGTCTGGTAGACTTCTAAATCACTATTGCATAAAGTAAAAAAAAAATAAATGAAATAAAAGGGAAAATAATCCAAACTGCTGGATTTGAGGTCCAGATTATAGTAGGGTCTTAGAGAGAATAAACCTGACAAGAAATGGGATCTGACTGACAAAGAATGTCAGGATTCTCAGCTTGGAAGAATGGTTGGAGCCATTGACAAAAATGAAGTAAATATAAAGTAGATTAAGTTTGGGGGGATGAAGATGAGCTCCATGGTCGACAAATGTGATTTGATATTCTTGTAGTATATTCAAACATATTAGAAAATGAGTGAAATAAATTTGAATCAAAGTCTCTGGAGAGGAGACCAAGTGGTTTTTTTGTTTGTTTGTTGTTGTTTGTTTGTTTCTTTTTCTATATTAATACAACTCTGGAATACCTTTCATGATTAGAAAATAAAAATGTGTCAGCTGCATAATCTTGAGTGTTCTTTACAGTGCAAATCTTCATCTCCATTATTTCAGCATTCAGTTGTTGGTATGCCTAAGTGATAAGATTGCTATGGCACAGTATTAATAGTTGTGATGTGGCAGAGAAAAGAGTATTTTGTTGTGTATATGATATGGTAGGCAAAGGCAGACTTGATATTGAAGACAAAGACAAGGCTATTGAAAATTAGAGTAAAGCCCAGAATTATTCGTGGTCTAGTTGCCATGAAAAACGTGGGGCAAAATCACAAGAATAGTTTCATGTAAAAAGTGCTGTGATTTATCAGTGACACTGTGTTATTTAAACACTTGAGTTGTATTCAGTTTATTCTGTTAAAGATAACTTAGAAACAAATGATTATAAAATTAATACAAATTTGAGCTTCTAAAAATTGAGAAACCATTTTATCTGTAAGTATTCATCCCTTTACAATGACACAAATTAACTGGTTACACATATATTACATCTTGTGTGAAGTTTGAAATTGTTCTGGAAAACAGCATAGAAAGAACACTTTAAGTAATCAGATTTATTTTCTTTATTTCTTTTTAGATTTTTTTCTCTTTACATTGAAAAATCAAAAGGGGAAAAATACAATAACAAACATTCATGGATTTTACCTTGAAAATGCATTTAACTAAGAATTATATCACAGCTTGATTTTTATTGGGACTACATATTCATGAAATACCAATGAGTATATGTTGGTTTTAAGTGATTTATTTTTCTACATATCCACAAATACAAGACCAATAAGTAGTTACTGCTATATTCATATATAATTTATAGTAGACTAGTTGAATATAGAATAGATTATATTTAATATAAAATATTTACTATTTGAATGCATTTATGCACAACACATAATGAACACTATTCTGAATGGATATACATATATATTATACATATAATATATGTTTCTTAATAATTTCAATGAATATATACAAAAAAACACATACATATGCTCCCATACATACATATACACGTATATATACACATATATAAATACATACAAGAACACACACTCATAGAGATATGAAATTCAGTTTCAATTTTAGGACACTTCTGATCATTCATCACATTTGTTAGGATTTTAATGCTTTAATATCCCAACATATCCCAAGTTTCCATAATATAAAATTTTGGATTAGATACGTTTATATAGTGATATCAAAGAAATCAGATTTTATTTCACAGATAATTGTTAATGATTAATAAAATATTTTAATACACTAAATCATCTTTACTATTGAAACCAACATTTGATTTGTTCTTTAATAAAATTAACTTTTATACTTTCCTTACATTCTGAGATGTGACACTTTGGGTACTTTTAAGTGTCTTCATGAGTCATCAGGATGCAGTAGTCTTCCTGTTATGCTGGTGCTGTGGAGACCTGGTGGTGTGGTCTAAGGCAATGTTCTTGACTATACCAGTGGCAGGACAAAACAAAATGAAATTGGTAGATGAGCACATAAAAGTAAATATGAATGAAAACTGCAAAAATCTTTTCATTTGACTTAGTCTGTAAAAGGATATCAAAAAGATATATAGCTGTTAAAATCCTAGATGGTAATGATAGTTGGCAATGTTATATAATTAATGAAATTCCAGTTCTACATTCTTATTTCACTTCATTTGTTTTTTCTTCTTATAGACTTTCATGGTGTTAAATAAAAAGAGAACAATCTTTAGGTTCAATGCTGCTTCCATCTTGTGCACATTGTCTCCTTTCAGTCCCATCAGAGGAACAACTATCAAGGTTTTGGTGCATCCATATCCTTTGCTACTGGCTTGTGGACTGTGTTTTAAACTGTGCTAATACTAAATTCAACTATTCTGTATTTAACTGTTGCTGCCAAACTTTTCTCTTTCAAATTGATATCTCACATTAGGTGATAATGAAATGTGAATAATGCTCTATTAGTTATTCCATGTTTAAAAATACATATGAAATATATTTTCTAAATACCCATAATAGTAGAAATTAACAAATATTAATGTCCATTGATTTTCAATAATGTTTTCAACATTAAAACATATTTTATTATGTGTTTTTATAAATTTTGATTATAGAAATATTTTTTCTAATATCATTTATTATCCACTATTCCTTGACTGTAGCTCACCTTTTTCCGACTGTTAATTTTAATTAGCGTCCTCACTGATTGCATATTTATGACTATGACTAATTGGTCAATATGGATAACAGCAATTGAGTAAGTTTATAATTTTATTATACATAATGTCATATATGACTATATTTTCATTTTTAACATTTTGTAATTTTGATGTCATAACATTAAGTTACACAATATATTATATACTATAACATTACATGATATAGTACTTATACTTTATATATAATAAAATATTTAAGGTATATAATCTATTTATACCTGCAACAGAATGAGTGAATTCTCCAAATAAAAATTATCATATTTATCAACTCATTAATTTTAGTATTTTTCTACCCTTTCATTATTCTTAGTT